TTTGGACTACCTATTCTTTGAAAGCATTCACAGTGGGTGGTTGGCGGGTGCTCTGGTGTGGTTTGCTCCTTCTTTCCTCCTTCTTTCCTATCCAACATCTATTGTCCTGATCTCCCCTCCTTTTTTTGTGTTTGTTACTGTCTTGTGACACCTCTAATCTTCGGCACTTATATGACCTTATTGTGTTGCAAGTACCGTAAAACTCTTACTAAAACTACACAGAAAGCATTCACAATCATACAGTATAGAATGAGCATAAACTATGGTCATTTAGTACTTTAACTTTTAGGGATCTATGTCTTAAAATATAAGGTTCTTTTACCATTGGTATTCATTGCTGTATACCACACATTTTGTACAGAAATTAAAATATTAAAATGACTATCCTATCATTTGTAGTTTGATTGTTGTTGTTTTTTTTAGATATATGTGGAAAAAGAAGTACAGAAGAATATATGTGTGCATGGAGAAAGCCCATCAGAGTTATCCAAGTTTGTGGATGGTTGGCGGGTGCTCTGGTGTAATTTGCTCCTTCTTTCCTATCCAACATCTATTGTCCTGATCTCTCCTCCTTAACTTTTTTGTGTTTGTTACTCTCTTGTAACACCTAATCTTCGGCACTTATATGACCTTATTGTGTTGCAAGTGCTGTAAAACTCTTACTAAAACTAAACTATCTAATTATGAAACTCTCTTGTTTTCTTCTATATTGGATCGCGTTGCCTAAAGCTTTTGTGTGATATTCAAGTTCTTGACTGCAGAGCACATAATATTTTATCACGAACAAGCTTTATTCACTGGTATTTTTTTTTCCATGAGATGACTTTGCATTTATTAGCAAGTCCTCTTCCACCTTGGCTTTGCTTGTAAGTTTTAACTTTTTTATATGTTGTCTTGGTGAGGAGAGAGTAGTGAGAGCGGGTGGTTGGCGGGTGCTTTGGTGTGGTTTGCTCCTTCTTTCCTATAAAAAATCTATCGTCTCTTTCTCCCCCCCCCCCTCCTTTTTTGTGTTTGTTACTCTCTTGTAACACATCTATTCTTCGGCACTTATATGAATTTATTGTGTTGCAAGTGCAGTAAAACTCTTACTAAAACTAAAAAACTAAGAGTAGTGAGAAGATCAGAAAACGAAAGAAAAGAGGATGGCATTGTGACTGGGAATATCTTCACTGAGTCTGAGCATTGTTACTGATGTGTTCCTGAGCAGCGTTACCCATGCATGTATGTTCCTGAGCAGTGTTACAGATGAGATATGGTCGGTTTATCATGTAGCGTGGCTCTCTCTCTCTTCATCTCTCTCTCTTTCTCTCTCTCTCTCTTCCTCTCCCTCTCTCTCCCTTTCTCTCTCTCTCTCTCCCTCTCTCTCTCTCTGTCCCTCCCCCTCTCTCTCTCTCTCTCTCTCTCTCTCTCTCTCTCTCTCTCTCTCTCTCTCTCTCTCTCTCTCTGAAGTGTACCCTAAGACAACCCTGGTTATGATAGCGGAGCGGGTGGTTTTGGTACAAATCCCAATCTGGGTGTTCTGAACTCAAGCTGTTCTGTGGCCTTTTTGAAGGTTTTCAACCCCATTGGTGTGGTCATATCAGAGACAGACATACAAAGAATTCAAAGGTCCTGCCTCTTGAATAACGTTATACTAATAGTGATGAGATAATATAATGTCTACTGTCTACAGTGGCATGCACATTGCGAACACGCACATAGATCTATTTTCAGGTCCCGAATTTTTTCCTTATGCATTATTAAATGTAAATAAAATTATTATATTCTTTGTATTCAAAACACTTACACTTACATAGCGAAATTCCTATATAACGAAAAGATGTCCCTGTGCATCTCCATTGCACTCACACACACACATACACACACACACACACACACACACACACACACACACACAAACACAAACACAACAGTTATCTCCCATTGCACACACACACACACACCACAGAAAAAAGTGGCACTTTTAAGAATCTAACTTAATCTAAGCTATGTTTCCATAGAACCATTCTGCTTTCAACCCTCAGCACACACCAAAACCTGGCAAACGCAACCTGTCACGCAAGAACTGGATACCGGTTTGTTTTTGTGTTTTTTGGGGGTAAGTGTTTTACAGCGCTCGCAACTACATGTATATAAGGTCATAATACATGTAATATGAGCGCGCGGGATCCACCTAATATTTTCAGGAGGTGGGAAATTTTGAATTTTGCCCGAGTGGCAGCCGAAGCCTACCCTACTCTTATCGATTTTAGACCACAAAGGGATCTTTAACGTGCGCAACTTACACACGGTCCCTCCGAGATTTTTCTCTCTTGTCCGAGAAGGCTAGGTGTAGATCTTTCTTACCAGAAGATCAGGGGTGAGGCTGAAAGACAGCAGTAAGAAGGGGCCAAGGAGTAGCTGTAGAAACGCTGCAGAAAGAGTCAGGAGCCCAGAGGAGGGGGCAAAGGAGGTGAGGGGGTGGGGGCAGAAAGAGGAGACGAAAGCAGACATCAGAATATTGCTAGAGAGCAGGAAAGGAGGTGAAAGGAGACAATGTTAGAGAAGGAAATTTTTACGTCGCTAGGCCTACCCGGATTCAAACCCGAGACCTTTGAGTGAGAGGCCAACACCTTATTAACCTCTAGGCCACGAGAGCACCCTTGTGATGTCTTTTCTAAGAATCTAACTTTTTGTAAGCTATGTTTCCATAGAACCATTCTGCTTTCAGCTCTCAGCAAACACCTACACTTGACAAAAGCAACAAGTCACGCAAGGACTGGATACCGTTTGTTGATCATTTCTGTTTTTCCCTTGTCAAACCCGTGATGCACGGCATCCCCTTGACCCAAGCTCTCCGGCTGGTGGCAGAGAGACGTCTCTTTATTCTCGCGACACCCAAAAAGGTATAAGCGGATAAAAGTAAAAGTAAAGTAAAGATAATTTCTGTTTTTCCCACATCGGACTCGTGAAGGAGATAATGCACACTGTATTTGTCTGTCCCCGTGGTTTTATGCACCCCGCATAATTTAGCAAACTTTGATCATTTTTGGGGCATAATTTCTGATTATTTTTCTTTATCATTCTTTGTTAAAATTAACAGAATTGCATAAAGGTTTCGAGCGCCACAAAACGTTGCTATAACAAGCATAATTTCACATTTTTGGGCTCAGTCCTCATAATTTCAGAATTTTTACAAATATTTTTTGTTGTTGCATAAAACCGCGGGGACAGATTAGTCATGCTCTTGAATGAGCTGCAGAGATAAGATAATTACTGTATTATTAGTATTACTCGTCACGTCTCGTATTATTTACCTTTTTCGATAATGCCAGGAGTGACTTTGTTAGCTTTTCGCTCGATCGATGTTTTCAAATGTGTGTCTTTGATTTGCATTTCTTATTAATTTGTTTCGCCGGTGTGGATAATGTTTTTTCTTCCTGCTAAGCTTTTAAACATATTTTTTTTTTAAATGTTAACTTTTAGATAGGCTAACTGCGATGTTTGACAGCTGTATCGGAACCTAGTGAGAACATTAGCAACATCCTGGATGTTTAACCCTATCCGCACGTCGTGTTTTACTATCGTATTCATATAACGTGGAGAACTCTGTGCCACCACTTAACCCTATCCGTACGCCCTGGGCTCATTGTGTACCCCCAGGGTTGTATTCTTCACATTTTAGAATACTTCAAGTACGAAGATCTCTTTGAAACTTTCAGTATTTCTTTTAAAAAAAATCATTTTGACAGACTGCTATGCAAAGCATACGGATCGGATTAACGAGTAAATTTTCTCTTTGGAAAGTGTAGGCACAGAGTTCCCCTCGTTGTATGGGTACGATAGTAAAACACGACGTACGGATAGGGTTCAGTTGGAAATATCTGATGATTTAACCTTCAGTGAATTCTAAAAGGAAGACGAGGCAGATAATGATATTGATATGGATACAGACCCTATTCTCTTTATCTAGAGGTTATCTCAGTGTTTCTTACTCCCTTTCTACCCCCCCCCCCCCTCATCCCTTTCACATTCTCTCCTCTGTCTGTTTCTATCGCCTCCCCCCTCCCCCTCTCTCTCTCTCTCCATCCTCCCATCTCTCCCTATCCCCCACTCGCTCCCCCCCTCTCTCTCTCTCTCTCCCTATCTCCTCTCCCCCCCCCTTCTCTCTTTCCTCCCCCCTCTCTCCCCCCCCCCTCTCTCTCTCTCTTTATCTCTCGCTCTCTCTCTTTCCACCCTCTCTCTATCTCTCCTTCTCTCTTCCTCCTCCCCTCTTTCATTTTTACTCCCTAAGGAGTGTTACCCCTCCCATCAACCATCCCACCACCCTAAGATGTCTAAGTGGGAGGTTGGCGGGTGCTCTGGTGTAGTTTGCTCCTTCTTTCCTATCAAACATATATCGTCCTGATCTCTCCTCCTTCTTTTTTTATGTTTGTTACCCTCTTGGGAGAGCCTCGGTTCGGACACGGATTTTTTCGCCCCCTCCTGCCCACCCAGCAGTAATAGGTACCTGACTTCGAGTTGGGAAAGTAAAGGCGGCGTGGAAAGGAACTGGCCACCCTACCACAATGTGCCGAAGGCCTGGGAGTTGTCTCACTGACAAGACAATCCTCAATATCCAGATCGGATACGGGAACAACTTTACTCTACTCTCTTGTAGCACCTCTAATCCTCGGCACTTATATGACCCTATTGTGTTGCAAGTGCCGTAAAACTCTTACTAAAACTAAAACTAAGATGTCTGTACTGTCTGTTCATCAGTTTCTAATCAGGACCAAGTCTTTCCCACTTTTTTGGGGTACCTGCCTCCACCTTTCACTTACACTACTTATACAACGTACTTATACTTCTAGTAAATCTACCAAGTATTTAGATAAGCCCATCACAGACAGACCCCAACCCACTTTCCCGGTGTGTGTGCGTCCAGCAGGTGAAAGAAGGGCATGGTTTTCTCAAGTCCACGACGAAAGCTAGAAAAATAGGAACGGTCTTTTTTGTTGTTGTAGTGCAGAGTTATTACTCGCAACGTAAACGTGACTCATTTGCTTCAAGCCAAATAATTAATGTAATTGTGCATGCAGTTCCCACATTCCGACTTTGTGTGACAGTGTAACGACCGGACTATATTATTCTCTATCCTTCTGCGGTAAGTTGTAAGTTATGAATGATGGAGTGGAGAAGGGTGAACTGAAGTTTTCGTTTTTGTAACGTAACAACGGTCACCTTCAATTGCTGTAGAGATACATGGAGTCGTTGCGTCCACTGTGTTTTACTGTTGTTATTGTTGTTGTTGCTGCTGCTGTTTCTGCTGCTGATGTTGTTTTTGTTGCTGTTGTTGTTGCTGTTGTTATTGTTGTTGTTACTGCTGCTGTTGCTGCTGTTGTTGTTGCTGCTGTTGTTGTTACTGCTGCTGTTGCTGTTTTTTTGTTTATTGCTGCTGTTGGTGTTATTGTTGTTGTTGTTGTTGTTGTTGTTGGTGCTGCTGTTGTTGCTGCTGTGGCTGACGTTGATGCTGTGACTGATGATGTTGCCTATGTCGTTGTTTTCTCCAGTTGATGTTTTGGATGAAAGTGTTGCAAGGTTCCACTTCTTTTCTATTAGTTTAGTTTTAGTAGAAGTTTTACGGGCCAGAAGATTAGAGGTGTTCCAAGTCCAAGAGAGTAACAAACATAAAAAAAGAAGAAGGGGAGATACGGACGATAGATGTTTTATAGGAAAGAAGAAGTAAACCACACCAGAACACCCGCCAACCACCCACTTCTTTTCTTTTTTTCCTCTTTTTTCTGCTCTTTTGATCTGTCCTACCCTTTATCGAAATCAAATGCAGATCTATATGAGTTGTTGTTTCGACATGCTTCTTTTGAAAAAACTCAGCCGACCTCTGTAGTGGAGCACAGTACATGTATCTATCCGGAGACGTCTCCGACGGAGATAGACCTTTCAGAAATGCTTTGTGCCTCTGGTCCGAGTGAAAAAATACGGGAGGTTTCAGGGGGTCAAGCCCCCTTGTTTTAACCTTTAATTTGAATTTTTTGTTGTAGTTAGGTTTGACATTTTCTTGAAAGTTATTGATTTGCGACAGTTTTAGCGACTATATGTGTGGTCTGCAACAAACAACACGCAGTTTGACCCCCACAAAGCAGTGCATCTGTGTGCAGGAGTGCGTCTCCGAATGGTTCCTGGGTGCTCGCCGGAGACGTCTCCGAATATCTTCTGCCGTAGTGTAGTGGTTAGGCGCTTCGCCGTCCCACGCACAAGACCAGAGTTCAGATCCCGTGGTAGTGAGGATTGTTATAGAGTACTTTCTCAGTCTCAGTCTTTCTGTGGGTGGTTGGCGGGTGTTCTGGTGTGGTTTGCTCCTTCTTTCCTATCAAACATATGTCGTCCTTATCTCCCCTCCTTCTATTTTTGTTTGTTACTCTCTTGTCACTCCTCTAATCTTTGGCCCTTATTATTACATGACCTAGGTGTGCTGCAAGTGCCGTAAAAGTTTTGCTAAATCAAAATAAAACAATAACTACATGTACATGTATTGCAGACCGTTGTTGAGTGCTCTTTTGATGGAGTGAGCTGAGTCTTTTCAGTGTTTAAAACACTTTGCCGTCTCATCTCGCCAGTTATTGGCGATGTTTCCCACCCAGTGACTTTGGATTTTGCCCATGATGGCAAAGTCTAAAGTTTAACCCTGTAAACTATGTCATGGCGATACGGACTCGGCGACCAATGCTGCAACACAATTCACTATCTTTGGGTTAGGTTGAGTGGGTAGCTGGGGGAAGACGCCACAGGTAGGTTTTACTTCTCCCCCCCCCCCTTTTTTCTGACAATGTTTCTTATTCCCCCCATGACTGTGCCGTTATCTTATCGCCGTGCATCTCTTCTTTCAAACAAAATAAAACTTAGCATGTGTGATATTTGGCTCAGAGACACGCCTTGCATAGTCCTCGAAAGAAGTTTAGACCTTTTTGTTGTTGTTGTTGTTGTTGTTGCTATCTCAGTCATAGACACTCAACGATGTATTATCATGCATGGATAGCTCCTGTTTTTGTTGTTGTCGATGTTGTCGTTGTTGTTGTTGTTGTTGTTGTTGTTGTTGTTGAGTGGTTTGTACGACTGGTGGTATGGACCCTCAAGCTACTTTAATGTGTTATCTCAGTCATTGACACTCAAAGATGTTTTATCATGCATGGATGTATTTTCCTCCAGAATTGGGCAAACCGACAACTGGAGATTCCCCCCCCCCTTTTTTTCCTTTCCTTTCTCTTCTTTTTTTCTTTCCTTTTTCTTTTTTTTTCTTTTTTTTTTTTTCTTGTAGTTCTTTCCTTTTAACAAGCTATTGCTTCTTCCCAGCTCTGAATGGTCGTTTTTGCAGCCATGTGGTTCTCTTTACTGAAAACAAAGGCAGGTTACCTCTTACAGGCTGTTGGCAAGGGAGAGGTTTGAAGTGACCGACACTGTCCATTGGTTCTCAACTTTTCTGTGGTCCGAATTGATTCCGAACAAAATACAGCGTGTCGTCAGTCGGCTGTTAAAATGTTCGAAGCCCCAGCATTTAGATTTGTAAAATATGCAGTTTTCCTAATCTGTGGCATAGATTGCTTGTACTCATTTTGTTGAAATCCCAATTTTAAATCTTAAAAATAAAGCAAGGAATATTTACCACATCCCACCCACCACTCACAAAAAACAACGAAAAAACCCCCCACAAAACAAAACAAAACAACCAACAAAAAACAACAAAAAACAAACGATAGAGGCACAAATCATATACAGAGAGGAAAACGAATTATAGAGAGAAGTGCTCCAAACGGCAGGTTGTGAAAGATCTATGATCAGAATCTTCAGAAAGAGACAATTAATTGGTATTCTTTGGCCACACGAATAGATCAAATGGACGAGAGAAACTGCAGCTGTGTGGAAATATAGAGAGGGAAAAACGAGCAGAGAAAGACAAAGAACCTCATACACAGATGGTCTAAACAACTTTACTACGAATAACGCAAAGAAAGAAACACCCCCCCCCCCCCCCTCAAAGGACGGTGCTATTGACTGAAGTGTCTTTCGGCCATTCCCAAAGGGGGGACATTACCATGTTCTTCTGCACAATGGAATTGTAATTGTAAATATTGTCTGATTCATAAATTGTCAGGCTCATAATTGTGCCGGAATTGCAACAGGGAACTGCTGCTTTTTCTTTCCTCATCCTTGCTACATGTATCGTCATTTTTCTGTACTTCTTTTGTATGTTTGTCACACTCTTGTGACCCACTATTTCTGGGGTGCTTTGATAGTGGAAGGAGACTCTGTGCTGTTGAAGTTAGAGAGGTGAGCAGAGTAAACCCATATCCCTGTGAGGACTTCCCTGTTAACATCCACCCCTTGGCACTCATATGACCTTATGCATTTGCGAGCGCCGCAAAACCCCTACTGATAAAAAAGAAACCGAGCTGATCAAGAAGACAGACAACAGGAAGGAATGGGGTACCATGATATGTCTGCTCCAGATCTGACACCCGAAGAAGAAGAAGAAGAAGACGGTATCGGCAGTTTGCTTCAAAAAATGAAAGAGTATTTCTTTTCTCTCTCTTGTAAAATGTTGCTTTCTGGATTCAGTCGGCTACATTTGAGTATCTTGCCAACGGTGTAACGTTAGTTTGTCGGCTGCTTTGTGGTACTGATGGCAGAGGTTGGAATCCCATCCAGCCCTTCTCGCTCATAAGTTGTCTCTGCAGTGTTTAGGACTCCTCACCTCATGGGTCAGGGCTATAGGAAGCCAGTGTGAAGAAAAATCAAGCAATGGAACATTTTCTTTAATAAGCGTGTAGTGTTGAAAAGGGCAAATGATGTACTAGAAGATAGTGACCCATTCCACCCCAGCTATCCCAAAACTACCGCTAGACAACCAACGCCTTTGATAAAAGACGGCTGAGACAGTCTGTTCTTGCTGCTAGGCAACACTGTATTAACCTATAATCTCTGTATCCATAAACTTCCTGAATCAGTGCTCTAGAGTAGCCCTATCTGTTACTGTTATTGACTGGGAAAAGATTTATTGGTTCTATTACCGTGTATGAGTTCTAAACGCTGCAGTGTTGTGGTCGCATGGTCAAGTCAGTTTTAATTTTGATCACTACATCGAGACAAGGAGTAGGTAAGTAGTAGTATGTCTATAAGTCTATTCTATCAAACGCCTCGGGGTCATTTTGTACCCCCGGGGTTGTATTCTTCTCATTTTAGAATGCTTCTAGTACGAAGATCTATTTGAAACTTTCAGTATTTCTGAAAAAATGATTTTGACAGACTGCTATGGAAAGCGTACGGATCGGATTAACGAGTAAATTTCCCTTTTGGATAGTGGTGGTACAGAGTCCCCCATGTCGTATGGATACGATAGTAAAACACGACGTAAGGATAGGGCTAAGCACAGGAGGGCTGTCACGAAAAAGGCTGTTTTGAGAAAATCGAAGGTAAAGTTTTTGCCCCTTGTTCAGTTTCTTTAAAAGACCTAGGAGAGTTTACTCTATAAACAAACAAATATACACACCAATGAAACCAAACTTGTCCTATAGATGGGGCAATATCCACTTTTGGTGTAGATCAAGATTTATGGAAACCCCCAGAATCTGGGTTAGCCCGCTTGTCCTTAAAAGCGACCAATTATACCATGTAGAGACGAAGAATTCCCTGTCAAAACTGGCGTAAAGTCTCAATTAGTGTCAAGACCTGTTTTTTATGTAGGTTTTTTTGCGCTCCCATCGACACAATTTAGATAATTTAGCATGGTTTAGGAGGCAGACTTTAAAACTCTCCCTGCCATGACCAACCCGGGCTGAGAGGGATACAACATCCCAGCAGAAAGACCAAGATGTCTCATAATTTTTTCCCCCCAATCCGGAATCGAACTCCGTCTCCTGTGTGGGAACACGAAGCGCCTAACAGCAACACCTCAAACTGTGACAGACACCGTATACAAATCTGCCTACAGTTAACGATTTCCAAAAGGAAAAAGAAGAATAACACGCATTCAATAGATCTGTTCCCGAGGTTTTATGCACCCCGCATAATTTAGCCAAATTTGATATATTTTTGCATAATTTCAGATTATTTTCCTTTATCATTCTTTGTTAAAATTAACAGAATTGCATA